TTGTTTAGAGAGAGGCCACGCTTGATAAGAGTTGATTTTAATTATTTTTGGAATTAATTTTTTTAATTTTGTTTTTTTTAATCATTTTTCAAAAGAGTGTTTGACAATGTGTTGATCGCGTAGGTTTTTTAGGTGGAGTTGAAATCAGGTTGTTTTTCGATTTAATTCCACATGGATTTTGATTTTTGTTTTGAAATTTTTGTTTAGAGAGAGGCCAGCTTATAGAGTTGATATTATTTATTTTTGGAATTAATTTTTCATTCTTTTGTTTTTTGTCAGCATGTTGATAAAAACAGGAGCACGAAAAATGAATCTAAAATATCAAATCCACCTACAACTGTCAACAACTAACTTGAAATTGAATCAAAAAAAACAAAGAGATGAAAAATTATTCAAAAATTAAAAACAACTCTATCAAGCTGGCCTCTCTCTAAAACAAAAATTCAAAACAGAAAATCAAAATCCTGTGGAATCTAATCGAAAAACAAACCTGAATTCACTCCACTAAAAAACACTACGCGATCAACACATTGTCAAGCACTCTTTGAAATTGATTAAAAAAACAAATAATAAAAAATTAATTCAAAAATAAAAATCAACTCTATCAAGCTGGCCTCTCTCTAAAACAAAAATTCAAAACAAAAATCAAAATGCATGTTGTATCTGCCATCGAAACAAACCCTGATTCAAACTCACTGAAAATCTAGCGCGATCAATACACTGTAACACTACTGAAATCTCCGACGAAATCTCCAAACGAAATCTAACACGATCGTAGCATCTTTCTCGTCAAGCATCCACTGAAATCTCTCCGACGAAATCTCCCCATGAAATCTCCACTGAATCTCCGACGATAATTCTCCACTGCGAAATTCGGTTTTCCAAATCTATCAGTTAAGTCAACAATATAATATTCAAACATTATGTTATAAAAGGAAGGGGTAATTTAAGGTACTTCAGCCAACCTAAAAAAAAATTTGAGGGAACCCTAGCCATCAAACATATTATTTTGGACCGTCGACTCCCTATCAAAGTAGAAGGAGGGACCTTAGGCAATTTTTCAATTTTATAAGATAAAAAACATATAATATTTCCACGGTAGTTGAAGAATATCTCTTAACATTTTTATTATAGAGAAAATTTTAACTCTCTATGACAATATTGAAGACCACTAGTTAATTAAAAAAAAAAAAAAAAAAAAAAAAAATCTTAAATCTCTCCTACTAAGCAAGTTAGAGATGAATGGTTCATACTTTTTCTTCCATTGACCTTATTGGCTTATTCAGATTATATTATCTCTTCACTTATTTTGTATATTTGTTTCAAAAAATAGTTTAAAAAAAAAAGCCCAAAGAAAAATTGACTTTTTTCTACTTTTTCAAAAATAGGTCAAATATAAAAGAGGAAATTTATAAAAAAATTAGGCCTCAATATACAAGGAAAAAATGGTTTTTTAAAAATTTAAAATAATTGGATGTGAAAATTGGACTTGCCTTGTATCATAATTTTCAACACATCCAACAAAACTGTAGATCGCATTTCAATTGTTTCCTAGTCGTTTTAAATTTCAGTAGATCCCATTTCAAATTACCAATTACAAATTGGGTAAAAAGAAATCAGTTTAATGTAAGCATCTTTCATGGTGCCATACATAGTCAAGAAAATTGTTGTATAATTAATCTTTGTAGAGTGTACAAAACACTCAAGTGTACAATTTTAATCTCTCTATCAGAACAAATTAAGGCAATTTACTTTAATTTAACAGTTCTACCCTCCCTTTCACTCTTTCAACAATACAAGTACTCAAGAGGTAGAGTCTCTATATTCGCATGATTTAAGGCTGGTGGATGTTTCAAACACATCAGGCAAAGATGGTGAGGCAGTTGCTGCTGATTTTGGCTAGGCGTGGTGTGTTCTGCGGGACTGGCGGCTTTGTGGGGACTAGCACACTTCCTGTTCCCGCACTTTTTCACCTAACTTCTTCGCTTCATCATCATTCATACGTCTTCTCCTTTTAAAAACAGGATGGATATAAGCATTTCGAAGGTAGTTCTTTTTAAGATGAAGGTTTGGTTCTGTGGGCACGTTCCGAAGTATCTTTCATCATCGCGTTCCCTGAAATTCGCCTCACGTAAGGGAAATGATAAGAACAACAATTTAAATCAAAGACTACAATTATGACAAACTTGAAGTTAGGACTGTGCGATACACCATAACAAAAGCACCACACATACAACAAAAACAATAATAAAAAAAAATAAAATAAATAGCACACATTCACGAACTTTCAGGCTAAAGCATTAACAATAAACATTGTCAACTATTTTATTCTATTATATATAATAACTGACTCGAGCAGTAAAAGGTTCCTCGCTAGTTAGGCCCAATTCCTATAATTTAATTTAGCTTTAGGATAATTGGGGATCTAATATTGTAATTTGAGAGTCGGGTCGTAGGCCGTCGGGGGACGTGTTGTTGGGGTTTTAAGATTCACATGCATGAGTCTGTGATTTTTCAGTCTGTCCTATTTGTCCAGGTTTGAATAAGCAGTTCAGATCATGCATTTCGGTGTTGACCCAATTTCCTAATAGGTTTAAGCCTTTTGGGAGCTTGCTATCCCGGAGCTTGTAGACCTTTTGCAGAAACAGTACGCAAACCCTCGAGTGCTGCAGCATATTTCAAAATGACTATTGGAAGTGTTGTAATGGGTATATGTTGTGTATCGTCCAGTCATACGCAAGACAGGGCACTTGCACGCTGGGGGATGGTGATAGGATAGTTTGATATGATAGCATTGTTAGATCGCATTTCCTAGACATCTTAAAGCCTCCATTTAGCAATTGGTGATGCTAAGCTATTAAAAGGTGGTGATAACCTACGTGTCGTTTTAGGCAAATTATAAATTCCTACCAAACCTGTAATGGGATCATCGGATAAATGCAGGTTAGTCCATAAACGGCCTTTTGGCCAGAAACCTAATAAAAACCATATGAGTCAGACGTGAAGAAAGAAGCAATGAGAAATGGTGTTGACTGAGCAGCTTCTTTGTACTCACAATTCCCATTAGGAAGAAGCTGGGAGAATAGAGCCACATGCCAGATCTTGCACGGTCCATCGACATCGGGCCAAAAAAGCTGGTGCAAGCACTTTTTCATACTGTTGGTTGTATACATTTTATGATCTGCCATTAAATCATATCATACAAACGTACTTATTACATAACTAATATTAGTTACAAAAGAATTTTGAACTGGTAAATTCACAAACACGTTAACGAGTGGACTGGGCGCAGACGTATCCACCGCACAATGGTCGGAGGCATAAAAATAAAATTCAAAACAAAAATCAAAATGCATGTTGTATCTCCATCGAAAACAAACCTGATTCAACTCCACTGAAAATCTACGCGATCAATACACTGTAACACTACTGAAATCTCCGACGAAATCTCCAACGAAATCTACACGATCGTAGCAATCTTTCTCGTCAACTCCACTGAAATCTCCGACGAAATCTCCACCATGAAATCTCCACTGAAATCTCCGACGAAATCTCCACTGCAAATTCGGTTTCCAAAATCTATCAGTTAAGTCAACAATATAATATTCAAACAAATTTATGTTATAAAGGAAGGGTAATTTAGGTACTTCACAACCTAAAATAAATTTGAGGGACCCTAGCCATCAAAACATATTATTTTGGACCTCTCCTCCTATCAAAAGTAGAGGAGGGACCTTAGGCCAATTTTTTCAAAATTTTATAAGATAAAAAACATATAATATTTCCACGGTAGTTGAGATATCTCTTAACATTTTTATAGAGAAAATTTAACTCTCTATGAAAATATTGAAAGACCTTAGTTAATTAAAAAAAAAAAAAAAAAAAAAAAATCTTAAATCTAAATCTTAAATCTCTCCTACTAAGCAAAGTTAGAGATGAATGGTTCACTACTTTTTCCATTGACTTATTGGCTTATTCAGATTATATTATCTCTTCACTTTTTTGTATATTTTTTCAAAAATAGTTTAAAAAAGCCAAAAAAAATTGACTTTTTTCTTACTTTTCAAAATAGGTCAAAATAAAAGAGAAATTTAAAAATTAGGCCTCAAATATACAAGGAAAAAATGTTTTTACAAACTAAAATTGATGTGAAAATTGACTTGCTTGTATCATAATTTCAACACATCCAAACAAACTGTAGATCCATTTCAATTGTTCCTATCGTTTAAATTTCAGTAGATCCATTTCAAATACCAATTACAAATTGTAAAAGAAATCAGTTTATGTAAGCATCTTTCATGGTGCATACATAGATCAAGAAAATTGTGTATAATTAATCTTTGTGAGTGTACAAAACATTCAAGTGTCAATTATTATCTCCTCTACAACAAATTAAGCAATTTACTTTAATTTACAGTTCTACCCTCCTTTCACTCTTTCAACAATACAAGTACTCAAAGAGGTAGAGTCTCATATCCATGATTTAAGGCTGTGGATGTTCAACAACATCAGGCAAAGATGGTGAGGAGTTGCTGCTGATTTTGCTAGGCTGTGGTGTGTTCTTGCGGGACTGGCGCTTTGTGGGGACTAGCACACTCTCCTGTTCCCACTTTTCACTAACTTCTTCGTCTTCATCATCTTCATCGTCTTCTCCTTTAAAAACAGGATGGATATAAGCATTTCGAAGGTAGTCTTTTAGATTGAGGTTTGGTTCTGTGGCACGTTCCAGAGTATCTTTCATCATCGCTTCCTGAAATTCGCCACGTAACGGGAAATGATAAGAACAACTTTAAATCAAAGACTACAATTATGACAAACTTGAAGTTAGGACTGCAACACCATAACAAAAGCACCACACATACACAAAAACAATAATAAAAAAATAAAATAAAATAGCACACCTGAACTTTCAGCTAGCATTAACAATAAAAATTGTCAACTATTTTATTCTATTATATATAATATGACTCGAGCAGTAAAAGGTTCCTCCTAGTTGGGCCCAATTCCTAATAATTTAAGCTTCTAGGATAATTGGGGATCTAATATTGTATTAGAGCTTAGGTCGGGGGAGGTTTTGGGTTTAAGTCTCTCTGTCTGTATTTGGTCCAGGTGTTGAATAGCTTCAGATACATTGTTGGACCAATTTCCTAATAGTTTAAGCTTTTGGGACTTGCTATCGAGCTTGTAGACTTTGCAGAAACAAGTACCAACCCCGAAGGCTGAGCATTTCAAAATGACTAATTGGAGTGTGATAATGTATGTTTGTATCTCCACATGCAAGACAGGATTGCACGTGGGGGATGGTGTAGGATAGTTTGATATGCATTGTTAGATCCATTTCCTAACATCTTAAACTTTTAGACAATTGGTGATCTAACAATTAAAAGTGTGATAACTACGTGTCTGTTTTGCAAATTATAAATTCCTACAAACCTGTAATGGGTATCTGATAAATGCAGGTTCATAACGGCCTTTGCAGAACCTATAAAACCATATGGTCAGTACCGGAAGAGCAATGAGAAATGGTGTTGACTGAGCAGCTTCTTTTGTACTCAACAATCCCATTAGGAGAAGCTGGGAGATAACCAATGCAGCTATTACACGTCCATGGACATCGGGCCAAAATGCTGCAGCACTTTCATACTGTTGGTTGTATACATTTATGATCTGCATTATCATACAGAACTCTTATTACAAAAGCTAATAAAGTTACAAAGAATTTTGACTGTATCACACAGACTGGCGCGCAGAATCCAGCAATCTAATAAATTCTACTGAAAATTTTTACCTGATGGCGGAATACAACATATGCTAAGCTGAAGAAAATCAATATGAAAGGAAGTAAAAGTGGTGTCACCGCAGCATAAACGAGTCCTAGCAGAAAATAGAGCTGTATTTGAGGTTCGCCAGTGTTGAAACCCAGACATCCTGGATCCATTGCTTCCTCCCTATCCTTCTCAGTCTTCACCAAGAAGAAATTCTTCAAGTGATAGAAAATCAGTGGTTTCAACCTTAAAATCTCCCCTGCAATGCCGGCCCATCCATCAACCATTATATAGGTTATGAAGAAAGTTGCTTTCATCGGAA